AATGGCAGCGCGGGAAGGCCCCGCGGCGGCGCGCCCCCACCGCCGGCGGCGCCGCCGCGGGGTCGTGCGCGAGGAGAAACTCCACCGAGCGGTCCTCGATCACCTCGGGCATGCCCATACGGCGTGTGCGGGATGGGGCCGTGAGAGGGGGTAGTCAAACGCAATTCGGTCTGTCGGGTATCAAGCGATTCTACCTCTTGCTTGAGGAAGAGATGGGAGAAGGAAGACAACGCATGCAGGCCCCCTCCCGATCGGGTTCAAACCGGAAAGGCCGAGTGGCATTCATTTTTAAAACACGCCCTCGGGTCAATCATTATAGGGGTCATAATATCACGATGAGACTAGCAATGCGTGTGCCAAAAAAAACGAGAAAGAAAATATTATCGACCGAACACTTCGTTTCCTCACGAAAAAAAGTAAAAGACCAAGAAAAAATATCCAAGACTGTATTTGGATTATAGGTTGAAAAAAATAGATAAATCTTATACTAAGCATTTATCTTTAAGGATCAAACTTCTCTCCACGACTCTTGAACTCTGGATCTGGTTGAAAAGTTCCAACAACGGGGTACTTGGAATTGAACTTTTCGACCCACCCATTCAGCGTTGACATGTGTTGTTCGGACAAATTATCCCACCCACTGTTGTCTTCCTCGCCGGTGAGGATCATCTTAGCAAGGCCCCGAGAGACTTCCTTTCCAGCAAAACATTTATAGGGGCCATCTTGACCATAGAAGTTGCTGCCTGTGGTGCAATCGTAGACATTGCCCTTGACGGAAATGTAGATAGGAGAACCATCATGCCCAACGAAGTGGGCTAGCTGTTCAGCCGTAAATGTGGTGGTCATTATTTCTCCCTACCAAAGATGGGAACGATATATGTATTCAATATGTGGGCTTTGGGAGTCTGGCCAGCTCGATTTGAATTGCTTGAGTTTGAAAAGGTTTAAAAAGTCATAACAGCAGGATGGAAGTTTAGAAAAGAGGGAGGAACACTAAACCTGGTGAATCCCTCCAGAGCACTCACAGCACCCCGTATAGAGGAAGTACGGATCAGGTTAGGAAGGCAATAGGGTTGAAAAACAAGAAAATTTTATTGTGAGCATATTTACATGACGTAATATACAGATTTCGATCAATATTATTGTTTCCTCTGATTCTCATTGAGCATTATGCCGTCCAAATGTAATATTTTTATTGCATCCGCTCAAGCACTTCTTTGAGTTTCATACCAAACAAGAGAACCTGTTGATCAATAAGATGTTGTTGTTCTTCGATGTCAGCCTCCCGACGGCGGAGCTCCTCCTCTTTCCGTTTCTTGATTTCCTCTAGCTTCTCTCTGAGGGCAGCATTTTCATTTTCCGCGTCTTCAGCCTTTTGCATGAGCTTCTCATACCGCTGCTTAAGTAGATCTTCATTAGTCTTGTATATTTTGGTCATATGCACTGCATCGTCATCGAGAGTCTTGTCGATTTCTTCGCTTCCTTGTTGAGAAAGCGCGATTTGCCGCTGAAGGTTGTCAATCTCAACATCTAGTCTTTTTTGTTGACCCGTGCTTATAGCCAAGATCCGCTCTGCAGCATAGCACTGCTGTTTTAAGGATTCTACCATCAGCTTCTTTGAATCAATATTTTGATCCACTCCTCCCCTCTTCCTCCTTTTGCTAGACATATTCACACTAGGTGCTTTATTTTCTTGCCGAGAAAACCTGCTACGGTGTTTGTTATCCAATTCGAGAATAAAGTACGGGGGAAGAGAATAGGAAAGCTCCCTGTAAAACGTATGGAAAAATCGTTCCTCACCCCATCTCATGACATCAGGCTTCTTTTTAAAGTCAAGAATAATTTTCCAACCAAAATAAATTACGCGCAGAGATTCCTGTTCGCTTATGTTGAATACACACATTCAAAACCTTAACGGGTAAGAAATAACCTGCAGTCGTTAAAAAAATACTTGGACACCGAGAAGAAAACAACAAACATCTCTAAAACATAGATAACCTTATCGATTTCTCACAATGTCTTTCATATCCGACCAGATGTCCTTCTGTTTTAGTGTGTATTTTAAATTTTCCCTCACGGATTGACGGATGGCCGGGGTTGCTCTAAATTGCATGCCGTCATAAAGCAGCTCTTCCTCAATGCCGGAGTTGACAGGACTATTTACCATGTATTCATCGCTACCAAAGCAGTATCTATGTGTGAAGGAAACGAACATCATTTCCACACAAATCAGCAAGTCCTGAAGGGCGATGGGAGTTTCCTCCCGAGTCCAGTATGAGAAGGTCGGCAATAGGTTAGTTGCTGCTAAGATCGCGAAAAGCATACCTTGCCAGAAGCTCAAAAAGACGACAGATTTTATACATAGAAATTTCATCAGAATATTTTTACCCTCCATGAATTCCTTCAGGCCTTTGTAGAAGTAGAGAAGAGCCATGAAAGCAATCGAAATCGATACGTTGTAGACTAAGCTCGTCCAGAAGTAGCCCTTTGTGACGTCAGTGAGATTACCCATTTTATTTTTGGCCGTGAGGACGGCAACGATAATCGTGACCAATGGCTTTATAATCATGAACTGAAAGAGGCAAAGCCGGCAATTCTGGACAAACGTAGGTGTTACCTTAATGGGTTCCAGATTGCAAAACGGGAACACCTGAGGAATCGGTGGACGCTCCTCAATCATCAGCGCGCGGTAGAGCGTATCGATGCCGCCCATTTGCGCAATCATAAGTTGGAAGAAGGCATAAATGGCATAGCTTTCATAGGCATCGCGAATCAAGTTGAGATACTTCGCCGCGCCTGGGGCCAGGAGTGATGCCCAACTGATCAAAGCATACAGCGGCACCATGAAGAGAATACGCACCACTTTTGGTTGGCACTCCGGATCGGAAAAGCATGTCAAGTGTTCCAATATCAAGAAAAAGGACATAAAGGTAGCAAACAACGCGCAATAGCCCCCAACAAAGGATGGAATGAAACGCGTATCCCCAAATATGTATTCATGAATGAGGAGGATAAACAACAGAAACCCTACAATGCAGATGAAAGTTCCGGCCCAATAGTACATCTTACGCCGATCCGGTAAACTACAAAATGATGAAAGCGACATTGTCTTGAGTATTCTAACCAGTTGTTGTGGTGGTGGTATTTGGGTTGAGGGGGAGAAACTCAAAAAAAAAAAATGAAGTTGATCAAATGTAATACGACTTAGATAATCTAAATACACACACTCCTAGAACTGCCAAATATGAAGGAGAGGAAAGCCTTGCGTGGATCGACCACTATGCAGTAAGCAGCGGATAGCAATAGAGAAGTGAAATATATCGGGTTAGTAATGATGAGAGGAACCAACACAAGAAGAAGGAAAGCGAGAATCACAGCTTCACTATTGAAACTATCTTTTATGGCATCGCGTGTATGCAGGAAAATCAAATACCTGATCAAACAGAAACACTTGGCATGGATTAGGGTATTTTAAGTCGGTATAAGTTCAAAAAGGTTTAAGGACAAAACACTCCCGAGCTGCTGCGCTGTGCTGACTGGGATCCAGCAATGAAACTTCTTTCTCCTTTGTGAGACCGCTGGCGTTAAAAGACCCCAGGAAACAAAGCCAGGTATGTAGTGCGCCGCCAGTTTGGACGAGGTGAGCTCCAGGCTGTCCAGATGTGCTTCACACATCCGCCGCATGGCTTTATAAATAAGCAACAGACGCTGGACGGTGATGACGTGGGCGGATGCGGAGAGCACGGCGGCCTTGTGCGATTGCGCGTTGGCCTCCGCGGCGGTCTTGCGGCCGCGACGCCCTTCCCCGAGCTCCTTGCTGAAGACCTGCAGCTGTTTGCCCCTCGGAACGGCGCCGCAGTAGAACGCCGCGAAGGCTAACAAAACGGCGGCGTAGCTGATGCGTTTGAGGGCGCGCACGAGCGGATCGACGCCCTCCGGCGGGCCGGGAGGACGAGGGGCGATTGAGAGGTCCGGTCGACCCTCCCCGGCGGGATTCTCGCCCGGCCGGTTCGCGATGTTCGCGATTTCCTTAAAGCGCCCCCACACCCCTACGTAATGCACCGCGTTCAGCTTCGAGACGTCCCCGTTGACCGCGGAAAGCAGCGCCGGGAGCAGCTGATACACCCGCTTCAAAAGCATCTGCTTGTTTTTGCAGATCACAGACGATCGCATGGGTTGGTGGGTGGTGTAGTAATACATCGCCTGCATCATACAACGATGGGTAAGTTCCGCATCGCGGCGCCGTTTACTTGCCGCGTTAGCCTCCGCGTCGCCGTTTTCCACCGCGTCGTTCGCCCCTTGCCGACCGTCCTGCAAGAGGAGAGCGTTGTTTCGAGAATACTCCTCCTCTAGCCAGGCACACATCCCCTCCACACGAGGCGGCGACATCACGTGAAACCGAAAGCAGTTCGCCAGCCTCAACGGCATCTGCATTATCAGCCAAAGGCAAACCAGACTCCCACGCGCCGCCGACTCCTGGAGGCAGTTGCTCAGCCATAGATCGATCGCGTCGGGGCTCTCCTCGAGCAGATCCGCGTCGTCTAGGACGAGGTGCAGCTCGCTGCCGCGCGGATGCGCCTTCAGCCATTGCGCTACGCAAAAACCAAAATCAATCGGGGTGCAGTCGTAGACGAGGCGCCGCCGCGTGGGCTTCAGCTGTAGTCGCCGGGAAAGATACGCAAGGGCATCCCCGCAAAGGTTACGAGCACTCAAGTACTCCAGATGCAAACAGGGCGCGCCGCTCCCACCCGGCACCTCCTCCGCAACCTCTACCCCAGCCGGGGAAGTGCGGCCCCTATCAAAGGCCTCCTCACGAGAAGTCAAATATTCTAGCAGGGAGGTCGTCTTGCCACTGCTGGGCGGTCCTATCAAGCAGATATAACCCGATCCAAACTCTAGACTGGCATCGAGTTCGTCCTTAAAATCTATCATAAATCTGCTAAATAAATCATATACCCGTCGAAAAAGAATGAGAGAAGACTAGGTTTACTGGTTAAATTGAAATCTCCCAGTGTTAGCTTTTTTCACTTTTTGGATAAAAACTTATGAGGTAATCCATTCTTGATGAGTAGCCCCATCCAGCATAGATCCACAACACAAGACTGCATTCATTCGACGTTCCATAAAATCACCTTCGTGTTCACCAAACACTAACCACAGCAAGAATGGCATAAAGAGCCTATAATGAATGTCCCCCGAATACATCAACAGGGGAAACCTTTCCTGTGAAAGCAGACGCTACGGCATGTCCTTATAAGCTTGGGTGTAATTCCAGCGGTTGGTTTTGAAGTGCTTCCTCCTACTGAAGCGATTGCGGGAGGAGTGCGCCGCTTCGTATGACGGGTGAAACCGTTTGTCTCGCATGAATCGGTGACGATACTGGTGGCCGCAAAACCAATGCGCCACCAAGCGTATTTGAGTTAAACGAAATAGCATGAAATGAAGAATAGATGTCTCCCTCCCTTGATAAAACAACAACAACAACCAAGCAGCTGCTATTTCAGAAAAAAAAAGGATAAGAGATGCCGCCTAAAGACTGATAAGTAAAAGATCGATCCCCTTTTGCTTATGGTTGGCCAGTGGATAACTTAGACTTCCTCAAGTGTCTGTGTGCTAAAAATATGCTTTAGTAGTATTCAATACTAGTGAGGAAATAAGAAACGAAAAGTTGGGTGGGGATAGGGCGAAAGAAATATAATCTTGCAAATCAGAGGAATTTTTTTAAGTCTCCGCTTGTTGGATAGCACCATATATCCCCCTACAGCAACGCTATTATAAATACCAATATATATATATATATATATATATATATC